CAAAGATTATTTGCCTTATCTTAATGGCATTCAGATACCCTATGGTCTATATTATATTATACGTTGTCGATGAAAGCCTAAAATAATAATATTTGTAATTTTCAATGACGATAAACATTATCGACGTTCTCTAAATGGACTTACGTACTTTATACACTGCTATCGTATTATACACTGCGGACAAGTATGTATAGGTAACGTTCAATGTTACGGTCTTCAGTGTATGACGTATGTCTATAGTTACTGTTCTGGCGGGCGTAATTATTTGCATCGTTTTTTTCTTCATATCTACATCGAAATTTTCTCGTTTTTTTTATAAAATTGTTTAGAATGCCTAAAGTTGCAAGTTCAATCAATAATAAGGTAGCCGCATATTTAAAAGAATTTCCGAATGGAACATTTCAATGTGATGGGAAAGTTTTATACTGTAAATGTTGTGAAAAATCGGTATACTATCATTACGTCAGTTGATGTGGAACGTTCATTCAGTCAATACAAAAACATTTTCCGACCAAATCGCCGCCATTTTACGTTTTTAAATCTAAGAGAATATGTAGTTTCGCATTGTTTTAATAATTATTAATTAGATAAGAGATAAGATTTTTAAACTTACTTTTGGTACTTTTTTTCTGTTAAGCGGTTATTACATATTTTGATTTTTTTTTACATATTTCAATAAAAATAAGTACATATTTATGTACATAGGTATTTTGATTTTTTTATTACAATAAAATCCGTTCCCTATACATATATAATTAATGCATCATATACTTATATGTATCCGTATATTATATATTATTCTTATGTTTTTCTTTCTACATTCCTAAATTGAATAGCTCTCGCTTGATGACTCTTCCCACTGCACACATTCCACAACAACCCAGAGATCTGTGTTCAAATTTCTAGCAATCTCATCTTTAACTGTCGCAAATTTTGTTAAAAATGTTTGTTTTGGGTAATGTATTTTGTGTATTCAAAATTAATGTTATGATCTTGTAAATTTAATATTTTAACTGTCAAGACTTATTAATTAATTACCTATAAGTTTAAATAAAAATAAAATATACGTGTAGTTATCAAAATGTTTTCGATATAATACTTCTAAAAGTCGACTACCATCGCTGTCTGAAGATCATCCTCAACTGCAATGCATTTATAAATGTCTAGCACGTTCATTCCGATAACATAATAAATAAAAATAGGTATAAAATAATATAATATTATGGGCATAGGCATTGCATGTGAATCGTTAAACGCGTCGTATACCTACTGCCAACAATTGGCCATGTGACGACTTCGGGCCTATATAATAAATGTACGAGTCATATATAATGCAATATATAATATTATATTGTTGCCGAATACCTATCACTGGTGGTACCTGGTATACGTTATACCTATATAATATTATATTATACACGTCATAATATTAAACGAAATCATAATAATAATGTAGTAGGTACCTATAACGTTTTAGTCGTCCCCCGGTAAACAATTGTATTATTTTAATCGGTCGACGACGTGCCCTCCTAATACCTATATTATTATAATTATTACATAATAGGTATGGTTATATTTATGACGTTTACCCCCAAAATAGTCGAGCTTAACTTTTTTTTACTGGCAAATTTTATGTGCGCATCTCCAATAGGTACAATGAGGCCTTATCGTTACTGGTTTTCCCCTGCTTCCGCCGCTATACACACTGTCATTTTAGCTATTTAGCTTGAGGTAAATCTTCAATCCGACTGCACTCGATGTTCGTCTCATCTCGAAACCGTTCGCGGGGTAGGCGACAGAAGTCGGGTATAATTTATTATATTATAATAATTCAATTTAATCTTATTTCAAACGATGGAATTTAAAAAAAATCTTAAAAATCGAAAGTGACTGGATGATGATATTATATTATTATTATTATGTTACAGGTTTCTTTTTGTGTTTTTTTTTTTGTTAGTAATAGCGTATTCGGTGTTCCGCAGTGTAGCCAGAATAGTTGGATCGGGCTACAGCTCGGCGTAATATTATTAATTTATTATAACGCCGATGACACCAACGATGTTCTAAGACGATTATTTAATAGTATTATTGTTGTACGATGCGTCAATAGTAATAATAATAATAATAATAAATTATTAAATAATATAGGATTTTTATCGTCCGCGGTAAAAATTTCGGACTACAGTGAACGATCGTGTCACCCACGACTTTAGTGCGATTATTTCAATACTGTTCCGGTGAGTCGTTTCTTTTAGAAAATAGTAATACACTATATTGATTAATATATAAAATTATTATTTATTAACTAATAACTATACATGCCAATAGTAACTTCAACATTTTTATTATTGTAATTTGTTAAACTTTACACTTAGACATTAGTATTTAATATTTATTTTATTAATATAAAAACTTAATATTATGCGCATACACATGCCACATACCCCCATTGGTATACAATACGTCAATACCTACCTACTTCATAATACCTATCACATGTTCACATAATATTTTGATAACTTAATGCAACATAAGTAAAATATTGTGCAATGCATTAGTCTTTAGACTGTTGATAAGACCAGAGATTTTTTCGGAGTAAATAATATATTTTTTACACATTAAGATATTTTCATTGAGATTTATTTTTAAAGATCTGATTAGGTCCTCAATAAATTAGTAAAAATTATCTGCAGCTCTGACTATACATCTCTGATTTTAAATGAATGAACTGCGTATGATGTAAATATGTAAATGTAATCATACTATAAGTGTGTCGTTATTTTTCTCAAAAATCCCACCAATTAACTAAATAATTTCTGTAATATTAATAATATCGTTATTTATTTTCAATTATAATATTCAAGTATTATATTAATTAATATTATTCATTAACTCATTATAATTGCTAGCCCATGCACGTTAAAATAAATATCATATTATAGGAGGAAGTTGGCAGATAAAAACGAAATCGTGTTTTTACGCATAATGTTTGTGATGCCCTACACTAGATGACGCTACAGTATTGAATATCGATAAAAAAAATATTCCACAATCTTGAAAACAAACTTTTTTTTTTATAATTTAGACATCTGGTAATTCTAATTACTAATCCATTATAAATTTAATGCAATATATTTAAATGCATTGTGTTTATATGCAATTTCAGATAAATTGTAAAAACTAGTTGAAATATTTAACCAAATTATTTTGTAATAATATTATTGAAACACTTGTAATCTATTTCAATACGTTCAATAATATTCTACATAATATATTTTATATACCTTACAAATCAAAATTTAAGAAAAAATTTTAAAATATTGTATTTATATTATTCTATTCTAGTTCTAAGGCCAGAATTACATTTCGATTTTATTAATTAATATTGTGAAATCATTATTAACATTTAAAAATGATGCATGACTGAATAAAATAACATTTTATGAATTTTGGAAGTTATTTTGATCAAAATGATCAAATGTATAATAATTTATGAAAATTGACTTATGAATGAACTTTAACTTGAATACAATATTATTCTATACAGTAGGTATAGGTAGATGGTAATACTTTTATGTTTATATAAATAAGTTGGCATCAAGTCAACATTTTGTTTCACTATTTTTTAAATACAGTTTAAAAAAATCAAAAAGTCCATCAAACATGGTTACCGATAATAATATAATATACTACATGTATTAATAAATTATACTTCGACATCTGGGTCATTAGTGACAAATATACGAACATTGTGTGAGATTTTTTAATCATAACCGTTATATAGTAGGAACTAGGGTATTATCTTAAATATATTTAAAATATTGTAAGCAACGATATTGATATTGATAAGTAAATTAATAATATTAGCGATAACAACGTAATTTAAAGATTAATTGTTATGAGTACTCTATGCATTAGACAGTTTTAATCCATTTCGTCCATTTTGCATCAATAATTGTATGTATTGTATTTATTAGTTTTTTTCCTCATTGAACCAATTGTTTGTGTTAGAAATTTAATCATAATGATCATATTTTCATACCTCATATTAAAATAAATTTAATATTTTAATGATTTATAGCCTACAGACCAATTTGTTTTAATATTAGTTTATTATATATATATGTATACGTATGTTCCATACGATTGTCAAAATTAGAACATCACACAAGTATATTAAGAATCGCAGTATAAACACTCGATGTTTTCTTCAAAAAACAAACTCATATTCATATACTTGAAAATAGTTCAACATAACAAAAATACTTCAAAATAATATTATAGCAATACGCATGTTTTCAATAATTTGTTGTAGATTTTTTTTTAATGATTGATAATTGTAAAAATATGGTAGGTACAAAATATGTGTCTCTCACTTCTATTTCCTAAGAAAGTGGACTGTGACGTTAATTGTTATTACTATTATTACTAAATAGTAAATAGTGACCTGTTATTATTAAACACAATGCATATTATAATACCAATATACCAGATACCTATGTGTTTTTTACATAAATAATAGGTATGTCTTTGGCTGAGTAAAAAATTTTTTGTTTCTTACCGATTTGATGTAAGGTTGTCGTTGTCATGGTTAGGTACTTATTAGCAAAAATATGTTTATGATTCATAGATTTTCCTTGTAGATGAAAATATCTAGTAGGTAGCTCTCTTAGGTTTTTATTTTATAATTGTTCTGCATTAATCGATCAATCGTTGTAATAATTGTCATCCACTTATAGGAATGTTACGACTTTAAACATTGCACACTTTAATATAATTAAGGTCCCCACACACTGCGGCGGTGGCGTTAAAATGAGTCTGGACGTTACCGCGGCAGCACTGCCAATACAAACGAATTTTACCGCCACCGCAGAGGTGTGTGTGGAGGTGGACCTTTAGTATAATATGCTGTGGCAGTCAAATGTTAAATAAATACTTTTTTGTTATTATAATTTATTATATATTCTATTATCTGTTACTACTATTTTGCAGTTTTGCACACACACACTCGCATTTTATGCACATTGATTAAATACAAAAATATATATAAATAATAATACAAAATATAATTAGTGTGCCCAAAAATACATTACCTTATACTTATGAAATGGAAAATCATTTTTTTTCGTATTTCAGAAAGGACTAATCGAAGAAAAATTCTAATAAGTATGTATTAAATTATAATTGTTTTATAGCAGCTATGGGAAACTCAAAGTTACTAGAGGGCCAATTTTTAATCAATAATATTATATTATTATTAATCACGAGAACTTGAGACTTTTTGCCATTAAGTTTATTATCATTATTTTCTAATTGTTCACAATGTGTGTGAATATAAGTTTTTTTTATTATATTAATATAATAATATGTGTACTATAGATTCGGCTGCCCCTATATTATAATAAAAGAGACCAACAATAATTATCTCTAATTTTATATCCAATCTACCAATATTAGTATACACTTAAATATATAATAGGTAATATTCTTTTAGACAGTAATATTTTATGTATTATTATTTATTACCAGCCGTAGTCGAGGTTCGGGCAGATTCCGTTTAGTACCTACCAACCTGGCAACTAATGTTAATGTTTAAGCTATTTCAACTTATTCACTGTATTTATTAATACTAACAAATTTATTTAAACATAATATATACAATAGTGTTTTTGTTTATGACGTAGGAATGCATAGGTTTATATTGTAGAAAAAACGCGTTTTTAATATCAATTGGATAATAATATAGTTGGCAGTTTGGGGAGTTCAAAATTGAAAATGTCTAGTACTTCTAAAAATAATCAGGATACCTATTGTCGATGGTTCATTTTTACTTTTATTCTATAAATAAGCCAATAAAAAAATGTTCGCTGGGTAAAAAATCTTGAAGACTATAAAATAATGACGTTAATATTTTTGAAAAATTTTTGAACATCATGAAAATGTGCAAATTATTATGTGCTTAAAAATGTATGAAATGTTCAATATATATAGCTAAGACTTGAAATTAGATTGAAAAAAAAGTAACTCGTAAGTAGTTCACACTGAAACCAACAATTTTTTCATAGATGGTTTGAGTTCAAATCTAGACGAAATTAAATATTTAAATGAATAATAATTATTTAGTCATTTTATAGCAGTTTAAAAAATATTTGTGTGGACTGCTTGTATATTTTTTACGTATATTATTATTATGTTTTACTTTACGCAATGACATTATCAAAACATTTATAGATTCATTATTTTAAGCCTAATAAGCATTATATCGTATAACGAGTACTGTATTGGTAATAAATAACTAAAAAAATATATTAATTAACCATCAAATGCATTTCTATAATAGGTAGCAACATAAATATACCTATTATTAAAATATGTACTTAATAATAAAGGCAACCGTCTTCGCTAAGAACCGTTTATCCAATGTGTAATAATTTAATTCAAATTTAACATATTACATATACCTAGTGACTATACTTAATGACGATAGGTTCACTCAACACATACTGTAAAGCAGAGCGGTCACCTACCGTTCCCCCTTTGTAATTTTTTCGTTACGCATTTTGCATTTGCGTATTTTATATTTTTTATGTGCGTAAACGGCTGTATGTCTTGTTTGCAATGTAATTTTAAAATGATACTATTATTAGTTATTCAATTATGTCAATGCTCCTTAAATTATGATAATTTTGAAATTATTGTAGACTATCATATATACCTACGTAGCTCCGATGTTTGATTATGGTTTACTTTTAGTTAATTATTATAACCTAATTAAACTCACAGAATAAAATCACGCCTCTGCAGTTTTCTGCGTGATCTGTACTTATAGCCTGTTTTCCGTAGTTGTGGTTCCGTTTTCCGGGTTTTCGTTTTTTTCCCACCGGACATCCACGAACCCCCAACAAGATGATAACGCAAGCATAGGGTGACAACGACACGCCCTGGTAATAGCGGAATAACGTTCTGCCGACCAACTAACACGGCCACGGGGGGAAACGCGAGAAACGTAAAAGCAATAATATTAATGGCTGACTTTTCCAACCCACGACCCTTTTCTCGTCCTCGCCACGATCGTCGATGTGATTTTTGATTCATTTTGTGTAAACAATACTGCATAAAATGCATTATCCGTTATTTATAGATAAAAATAAATTGTCAAAACAATAATATTATGGTATTTAGTTAATTTTATGTGAATTAAATAATACAAAAATATATATATATATATATAATATAAAATCGGCGTAGACAGATAGAAAGATAGGTACAAGCAAAATATTTGTTTATACACATCGTATCCGGAAAAATCGAATACGAAGAAATTGACGTTAAACATTTCAATTTCCGTTCAAAATAATATACAAATTAATTCTGACGATTGTGTTTATTGTTCCTAAGTTTATATCTGTACACTACGCATATTATTTTACTCTCTTCCGGTCTCGTCATTGTCGGTTAATTCGAGCCAATTTAACATTTTCATGCTATTTAAATTAAATTGAATAAAAAACGGTCCTCTGCCGTTGTTATTATTCATATAAGTGCCTACGCACTGTGTTATGATTTAAACTATCCGAAAAGGCCGTTTAGCATTTCAAGTGTACACACAATTTTCCAGATTGGCGATCACTCCAAATGTCTGCTTTGAAATTATAATTTTCTCTTTGCCTCGGTGAAACTACATGTCCGATTGATCGCATATGCCGATCAACGCAACGTCATCGCAACTGATCTTCTAGTCTGAGGTAAATGTTTGATTTTATTTATTTACTTAGTAGTTATTACTCAGTAGTCAATGCATTATGAAAAGAATAGTTTATAAGGAACTTCAAATATTACGCGGAATGTGATTTCTTCGGACGACCGGCTTGTGTCTAATAACTACAGATTGATAGCTATAATTATATAATTACGCGTATATCCATAATCTAACCATTTAATATTAATAAGGCATTAGATAAACGTTAAAACTAAATTACTTTCTGCAATTATATATTATTTATACAGTAAATATATTTTACTATATTATGTTTGGGATGTGCTGACATTCTGCACTTGTAACTTGTAAGAAATTTAGTGTAGGTAGTAGCAATATAGGTATTCATATAACGCGATGTGTAACATAATATTAAATTATATATAATAAAATATTTTTTATATTTTAAATGATACTAATATATGGTGTTGTTCAAAATAAAATAAATTAAATGCAATGCAATGTGCATACAATTTATTTTAAATTGTTTAATCGTTGAAATAGCTTTTAATTATCATTGTTCAGGGTATAAATAAATAAGATAATAATTAATATGTGATTACTGATGTAACGATTTACAATTTGTGAGTAATTCATATTTGATCTTGAATCCGATTTCCAAGTTATTGCGGTCACAGCGTTGGTCAGTGACAACACACATGAACAGTGAATCAACCAACAATATATTACATAGATACCTATCTACTATTTCAAATTTTAGTTTTTGAAAAGTTATTTCAAATTTAAATTCTTTAACAAACAATACGACAATACTGAGTGACAGATTGTAGTAAAACTATGATGAATACCTTTATAATTATAGGAAAGCTAAGACATTCCTACATGGCAAGGTATTAGGTATATATTTATAAAACTAATCAATTAGGACATCGGAAACAGTGCGTCATACAATATAAATACTAAATGAATATATAATATAGTCACAATATTGTACTTAAGTAGAGAAGAGCGAAGAAATATTAGTAATAGTCTTTAAAACCAATCTAAGGTAAAAGAATAATGTAGTCTTCGAAATCGTGAACTGTAAATCGTAATACATAATATGCATACAGTAGTATGTTTCGGTAAAAGAAACTATATAATATAATAAAATATATCTCAATCATTTTTTTCTAGTACCAAAATATCGATAGTTTAACTAAAACTATTACATTCCACAAATATGAGATTAATTAGATTATTAACTATCTATATTTGGTTGATTACTGTCGTTGCACATTATGTACGAGTCAATTTTGAAAATTGTAACTTGTACGTACAATATTTGTTGTGGTAATGTAGTCTTTCAGTTTTAATGTTATATTATGGGTATGCATAATGCTATCTATCTTTAATTCATATCATTCTTCGTGTAAACTATTTTAAATTCTCATAAAATTTTATTCTCTTTAATTTTTATTGTTAATATAACTCAATATGGATGAATACGAAATGGAAAACAAATTTAATAATACTATATGTGATATAATTAATGAAAAGAGTTTTATTGGCACACAACACTATCAAATATGCTTCTCTAACGATGCAAGAAAAATAAATGCACCACCTGTAGTTGATTATAAACTCATAGTTGGGGAGTTATCCAAATCGAAATGCCACGGTTCTTTGCTGTATGAAAATAAATAATGATTTTACTTTATTATTATATTATTAGGTACCTATTTTTTTCAATACGTATATTATAGTACCTATATTTATTTTTTAATTTTGTGAGCAAAATTATAACTTAATAAATATTAAATAAATAAATAAACTAAATAAAATTCACCACGTGACTAAAATTACAATTTAAACATAATTATCTAATTCTTATTTCGGAATCACTAACAGTAAATAACGTTATAAACATTACAAATGATTCATTATTATTTATTAACTTAAATTACTATATTTAACAAACTACTATTTTACTATATTTATACTATATTTATATTATAAAACTAATATATTCCGAATATCTTTCCCAAATTAGTCATTTATACCAATTTTGTTGAAAAAACTCTCAAACAGGTAAAATATTATTATAACTACTTAGCTATTTAAATCACCATAAAACTGGGTTTTCACAGATAGCAAACCCAAATGTGTGCGTTTTTAAATAAACTAATAAATACCTTACAAATACCTTACAATAATCGCTCAAAATAAAACACGTGTACTTAGATGTCTATATTCCAACTCTGAATTAACAATTAATTTGGGCTCAATCGTACATTTACAATCGTAACTCTGTTTAATTCCGGCGCGTTCGGTTGCAATCAAAGACTGAAATTAAACCATTTACTGTTATTCACACTAGACGCTCGTATAGTCACGTTTATTTCGTACATTTTATTATAATGCAATAACATGCGATTTTAAATCGAATCTAGGTAATACATGGCTTCGAGCAATACATTTATAAACGATATATCGCAAGTCTCGACTATGATTATTCGACGGTCATCTGCAGCTATATACTAGCAGTGAATTTCCTAGGTTATGTAATGAGTAAGCTAGAGAATTAAGGACTCCAGTCTTTTTGAATCTATTTAAAAAAACTATATACCTTTGCTAGTCTTTATTGCATAAAAAATGTATGTCATAACTCATAAATCGAGTAGTAAACATGTATTATAGCCATTAAGGATTACAACATCGTTAAAGACTGAAATATCACAGAATGTCTCAAACCGTTTTAAAAATTACGATAAACTGTATTACTGTATTACTGCAGGGTACTCTGACATGTGCCCAAATATTGCACCTATACATATAGGCTATAGTTGTATTTTGGTGTTTATTGGCTATTGACTAGATTAGATATTATAGAGTAAGTTATAAAAATATAACAATCGTGAATCTACTACTGAAAACAAATGCATTACTTAACAAACTATGTAAGATGAAATAAGCTATTACTGTTGAGTCTGTTGTTGTTTTATACTTATGCAGCTATAATAATTAATATCAACTATATCAACAGATGAATTTACAGGTGAACGACGATATTTAATCATTATGGACAGGGCAATATGTATACGATTTCACTATTTTCCAATATTTTAGAGATATTACTACATTTTTGGCTAATGTCGTATTTTCTTACATTAACGTCTTTGACCTATCATAATGTATCTATATATCCATTACATTCTAAAGCTCTTTTTGGTTTGTTTTATTTTTACTAAGTCATAGCAAATTTGTTAAAATATGTACGATATGTGTTTTATAATATTAACTATTGTATAAAATAATATATTATATTATGTTTGTAATTGTTTATGCTGTTAAAATATTTTTTCTTGACATTCGCATTGGGAAGTTTCGTTTTATAATGTAGTAAAACTCTAAAATTAATATTTCGCGTTTAATTATTAGGTATATAATATAGTTTCATTTTCTGTCATCAATTTTGGTATTATAATATTTTAATACAGTTAATAGGTACATACATAATATGTCCCGGTCAATGATATTTTGTCGACTATTCGATTATGTTTGCTATTCAGAGGGTTCAGTTTGTTGTTAGTTTCCAAGAAAACGTTTGCTACTCAATGTTCCGCTATTAAGAGGTGTCCGTCAGGAGAGGTTTCACTGAATTCTATTGAGTATGATTTACCTATTCTATTTAAAGCATTTGTTTTAAATAGTATATATATATATATAGCTATACAACTCACGGACGTTACATTTCACTAACTTGATTCCGCAAGTGTCTGGATACCGTTTAAAATATATATTGCGTAGTCTAAATCACCCAATAGTAATGACTTTGACCGTTGAAAAAGTTGAGACTTTCGGTTATGCCTTTTTTTTAACGTGATATTGCAAACATCCTACAGGGGATGAAACACGATATAAATATTGATAATTGTAAATTTATAAATTTATAATAAATCGTTAATACTGGCGGAAAGTTTGAAAAATTTGAACTTTAAATGCATCCCGATGTTTTTGATATTTACTTGAAATTTTAAAGTTGTGCTCCTTAAATAAAAAAAACTAGATTCACATTATATTCCTATCAGAAAATATGCGGAAGTCGAAAATCGGAGCATTTTTACTACTCCAAAAGTTGACGACAGACAGAAAAAAATGCATTTTTTCGCTTAGAATCTAAAACTATGAGTAGTCTATATTTTTGTTGTAAGTGTTCTAAACTGACGTATCGATTAATATAGACAATAAATGTGGGTATTACATAATATTTATGGGATCTGCTATTGTATGTTTACCTAACAGAGCCAGGCAAAACTATTGGAAGTTTATATATCCATTTGAAACGTCATTGTCTTGGATATGAGATACGTGTACTATTATTAATATTATCACAGTACATAATACAAGAGTATAATACAAATAAACAGTGTTTACGATCAAAAAAACGATAGCCTGTATATTATAATAACGCGCTACAGACACTTGAACCGTGAAAAAACATCCGTCTACAGTTTATGCGTAAACGGAAACACTCGAAAATAATTTGGGAGTGCCATGACCTTATTACGACAATAAACAATAATATAAATAATTACATGCATGTACTTGTTTACCTAGACTGTACTTGGGGTTTTCCTCAGCGTCTTCCATCGCCCGGCATGTCAACTGCGACAGCGGTATGTTCCACAGCTGTTTTTTAGATTATTCCGGACACGAGGGTGACAGTGAGAGCGATTGTTTTTGTAATCAGTGACTTTAAAATCGGTACATCTTAATCATTTACCTGCAAATAGACTAGAAGCGAGCTAATACGAATTAAAAATATACTTTTTAGTTTTCGCGTATGGTCATATGATATCATGCTGTATTCTTTATTAAATTAGAATATATAGCGTGTTTTTATAGTGGACACTTAGTCGTTTCACCTTGTTCGTCGTGGATTATTTTATGTATAATAAACACATATTTTTAAATTATAATTGTTTGTATAAAAGATAGAGCTATACTGAAGCAATGTTTTCGTATTTTATAATATTCGTTGGTTAGCTATACAATTTAAATAAAAACAAAAATTAATAAATATTTCCAAAAAGCATGTCAATAACTATATACCTAGTTTCTATTTTGAGTCCTCAAAAAGTGTTGGATAAGTTAGGCTGTTGCAACAGGTGGACAGAAGAGTAGAGCATGTAATATACAATAATAGCATGATAGAGTGTGAACGAGGACAAACACGGTGAAATACTGTAATACTTATATACAATATACTTAAGTATTGTAAATATTTGTGTAATGTTTTGAGTTTAATGTGATGGACAGCATAAAACGGGCAGTTAAATTGGCTTCGGTACTTCGGGTTTATTTCGAACATTGAGAACATTTAGATCAAGGGCACAGGTATATGCCGAATATTATTGTCCTTTAGTGGGTTGATTAAACGAGAACGTTTCAAAGTTGATCCTAAATCATAATACAATAATTATTATACATTTTACTCGATTATTTATTAATTTACCAACGATGTGCGACTTTGAAAAATTATGTACTAAATCCTAAATACTTACCGTTTACGGTGTATACCACAAGTCTCTCTGGTCTCACGATAAGTTAAAAAATGTAATTTTTTGGCGACGCGTCCAGGGGACTGAAATTCGTTTCGAGTACATCTGTTGTTTTATCATAAACAGACTGTCTGAGTGACTACAAATTACAATAATAAATAGTTAATCAACAAATAATTATTCAGTAATTAAGAAAACTATAATTTTATTTAATAATTCTTTAAACATTGATTTTATTTTAAATAAAATAACGAAGGCTTAAGGAACACAAAACTTTTTTTTACCTCACTATAAGAGGCATAATATAATAATATTATTTATTAGTACATAATAGTTTAATTTCTAAATGTAGTTAACTTACTCAAAGTACTTTAAGTTTCTGCAGTCGAAAAAGCTAAGCCCAAAACGGCAATGTGTAATATCAACGTTTTATTTATATAGTTTAAATGATATTTTTTTGACAAACATTAAGATTCACTGTCAGCTCAAAGTATCGACTGCGGTTCGAATAGTTTGCTACGCCTACTTAGTGATGTTCAACATAATATAGAAAGACGGTATGCATTATTCAAGTCTACGACTATATAATATGCAAGTAAGCGTAGTAAAATAATTACTAAAATACTCATCGGGGGGTTATTAAATTTATTATTCAATTTGAATATCAGGACAATAAAATCTATTGTTTATCTTTATCAAACAATAATTATTGATGAACATAATACCGCAATAATAATATTTAGATATAACTTTATTACCAAAACTTCGATGGTCGTAAAGTCGTACCTAACCTATAAGTTAATAACAATAAAAAACAAAAAAATAATTCGTATAGTCTTATTACATATTATATGGTCAGTATGGTCTGCACGAAAGGTCGGTTGGTATAAGGTACTTTCGTATAGACTCCGTCTCCTTGGCACTTTCTGAGTGTACCCACTGCGGTACGTTGCAATCGCGGGAAAGTATTTTTTGTAAGTTTTGTATTTTGGTATACTTCTATCATTATCTATATTTATTATTTGTAAACAAATGGTATCCGATGTCAGACTTTAAAATTTTTTAGAAGAGTACCTACTCAGATGGCCAGATCGACTATTTTTAACCGATCAAGGTGATCTAATACCCAAATAATAATAATTATTATTATTATATTAATAATGCCGGTTGATCTCAAGGCAAGCTCTACTTGTAATATAAAAAAAAAATTGCGAACCTTAATATTATTCAACTTGTTTTAATGTGTTTAGTGTAATAAAGAAATAATCAGTATTTACTATTTATGCATTATAATATTATATTATCATACGGTTAGTGTGCTTGAACCTCAGTTTTTGGTAGGTACTACGGTGGGTATCCTTTACCGGGAATTCCTGAAAATGGCAACCCTGGAGATGAAAGTAAATATTACCAAATTTATAATATTTCTCTATACGTATGTGTGTGTGAGTGTGTTGATGTTTTCAAATATAGGAATAGTCATTTTCACAATTTTCAAGGAGTCATGACAGTTTCGAAAATAATAAACACGATTCGTTTTTAAATAAATAATCATAGATATATTATTATAATTTATAATAAATTAATAAATAAAATTTGCATAATAAAACGCTTTTGTTAGTGTTTAAAATAAATAAAATTATGATTGAATATTAATGTGTTTAACATCCAGTATTTGTCAATGAATAATCGATCTTGTATCCTTTTTCCACATCTTCGTTGGGATTCGAGAAATCGTCGCTGACAAAAGCCACGTAGAGAGGTCCTTGAGTCTTGACTGAAAAACATAAAACAAAAGCAAAATATAAATTAAAAAATTCCTTATAAAATCATTTCTGTGGATGAAATAATATATCAAGCAAAATCGGGAAGTCCTTAAATCTGTTCTCGTATCAGTGGGATGTTCCAAGTGTATCGACGTTTAAACATCCCATTAACCCTACAAAAGTACAAACTAAACGGGAAGCCGAACTTTAAATTTAATAAAATTAACTATCACTACCACCTAACAGGTCACTGGGTAAGTGCCTTTTAAAAATCAACGAAAAAAGGTTACGATCGCTGTTACCTGTGCTGTCATCGATGTTTTCCAGCGACTTGTCACAATATTTCGACGCAAATCGAGATCCCGAATAAAGGCCGTCCGGTATGAGCAAGTAGTCGCTGTGCACTCCACGTTCGGATGGTCGTCTTCTGCTACGCCCGTTCGTCGGAGCTTCGGTCTCATCGTCGTCGTTCGGTGGTATAGTGGTTCCTGCTGGTGGCTGAGTGGTTCCCGCTGGTGGCTGAGTGGTTCCAGCAGGCGGCGTGGTCTGGCCCGGTGCGAGTGTGGTCTGGCCCGGTGCGAGCGTCGTCTGGCCCGGTGCGAGCGTCGTCTGCCCGGAGTCAGCGGCAGTATCGCAGTCCCGGTCCGTGGAACCGGTCAGCTTCTGGTTGTATGCCATTTGGAATTTAACAGCCTCATATCTGGAGGGTTGGTAGTTTTTTGATTGAAAAAAAACGTTTCTATTATTTTAGAGGTTTTAATTGGTGCCTAGGTATGTGTTTACATGGACGATATGAATGTTGTATGAACCACATTAAAAAATACCTCATTTTATACCATACATGTATTATAATTGGGTTTATACATACATGTTAAGTTACAACCAACCATTTTTAATGTAATAAAATATTATAAATATGTACTAAAGTCAATAACGTTTATTTGTGGTATGAATTATTTGTTTTCAAAAGTATTATTTTGAAGTATTTCTTATTATTTATATCATATCATGTTTTTAAGGTCAATTATTTTTTACAGACCCGACCTGTTGAGGGGTCCTTAATTTGTTGCAAGAAACCTAAATAGGATTAAAATTAAACGCATATTTAAAATCTATATTATATTATTATCCTTATTTTAAATCTTTTCTTTTCTTGGGGAACCTACCTTTTTTAATAACTTTTAGAATACCGTTTTGCTTTTTAGAAAAAAATAATTTTAGTTGACAAAAGTGTTATGGTGTACGTCATACTTTTGTCATCAGACGGTCTAAATTTGATCATATACTATCATAACATGAATTCAGCACGGACTCTATGGCTTTGTCTTCATAGTGCTGTTATGTGTTGTTCAATCACTTACTTGATTCCACAAGTATCTTGGTTCCTTTTGAAGCACGTCGCGTAATTTAAGTTGCCCAAATAATGTCCCGTCCCTCTGTTGTAGTTGAAGCTTTCGAACGAACCACGTCTGTCAGTGAAGTATTGTAAACAACCTTCTGGCGCTAAAGAAAAGTAAACAAATAATAAATCGGCGTCTTATCCGAGTTCGTGGTAAACAAACACATTTCGGTGAATATAATATTACATCTTTATATTTTGTGTATATATTTATTTAGCTGCAGGTTGAGCGCTTATTATATTCCTTACCTAGACTGTACTTGGATTTCGAGGCGTCTCTCTCTTCGTCTTCCCAGTCCCAGACTTGGCGTGCGATGTCCTTAATCTTCCACCAGTTGGTCGACGTCGTTTGGCATTCCAATTGCGTGATCTTCAATTTCCAAAACGGTTCCGGTTCGGTGTAGTCGTCATCCCTGGCGGTCAGCCTGAATTTTAATGTCATCTGTTGCTTGTTGTTGTTATTGTTATTGTTGTTGTTGTTGTTGTTGCTCCTCGAATCCGACTGTTGTTGGTTCACCGGCACATACACTGCAATAAAAAAATACATGCACTGTACACAGAGGGAAAATATCGGCAACCGTTAAAATATTATAAATGATAACATTTTAAACGGAAAATGTATTTTCTTAATTATCTTACCATGCTGACCGGAATTTTCACCGCATAAAACGGGCACATTTATCTTTGTGTTGCCGTTCGTGATTAACGTAAACTCGTCACGTTCACATGTGTACGCTGATTCTGACGTAAGTTTGGTCGGTTGGCCGAGTGAAAACCTCTCGAAATCGATTCTATAAAAGTGATTTAGTATGTCTAATATATGTGCATAATCTTAATCAATACGCGTCTAAAAAGCCAAAGTGGGTATAAACTATGATTTTAGCGTTGCTGCACCACATACCTTATCTGGCAAATGTTTCGTCTGACGTTGATCTTGTACGAGCATACATCTTGGAATTTTTCCGGGCTTTGGAAATATGCGGTGCTTGAACTCGAAGATGCACCGCATGAATTAGGTGTCACTTTAAAAATAAATAAAATGTCTCGATAAAAGTCATAAAAAATAAATTTAGTTAATCTTTATAGAATACCTAAATAGTATAAACTATAAATTATTATAATATTGAACACTTTTGAATATACCTACGGTTAAATGCTTTTATATGATGTTGATAAATTTTAATGCACAGAACGTTCAATATTTTAAAATGTATTATTATAATGATAATCATTATCTAAGAGTAATTAACTAAAAATACGAGATTTTTAGTTTTTCAAAACTCATTTTATTTAATATTCTGTTTTTCATTAATTAAAACAGTTATACTGAATTGTTTTACAGTTATTGAACGCAGTGTTTTAGTGTTAGTTTTGAAATTCATAATAATTTCCATTTTGGATTGTCAAAGTATGCATTTTGTATTGGACCAATTTATAGTACCTACATCGTATTGTATATAAGAGTGGAGTGCTATACATTTATAATTTAAAGTTTGAACGGTTTCAGACTTAAGTAAAATAAAGTAAATAATATGCTATAATAATATTTGATCAAAGTGACATTTTTGATTGTGAAACTGGCATTCAAAAGATTTCAATTTTTTTTTGTCTTGCTATTATATTTTATATTTTCAAGTCAAAACTAAAATTAAATGGTTAAATGCCTCATGATAAAAAATTTAGCTCATATTACAATATAGGTACTATATATTACCTATGTATATATCTTTCTATTCTGTATCTTTGGTTTTTAAATGTAAAACGTTTCGGATAGTTTGAAAATGAATTAAATCATAATACATGTAGAACAAATAGCATGTATACAAATAACATTACCGAATGATGCATAAATAAATATGAATTGACCAATATAAGTTCATCATACGTTATTATATAATATTGGCAAACGTCTAATTGAATTTAAAATAATATGTATTTTATGTTAGATACTATTATTGTATTATTATATTATCATGGTTACCTGAACAGCAAGCATCGAACGGAAAACACCTGCCCACTGACTTTCCGTTAGCTTCAGTGCACTCGCTTTGGCCCATACATATGCCTGGTCGGCCGTTCAGCCCGACGCACGAACGTTTGGCTCCATCCAGCATATTCCACCCTGAAACAACATCGATCGAAATGGTTTTTAGATCGGCCCAAGACGATATATATAAATACATCGTCCAAACGACCGATCACGGTGTTTATAAAATACGTTCATTATGCTCAAGACATAATATTTTTGCCGGCGTATAAAAATTGTATAGAATATTATTTTGTGTAATGTTGATATGAGTTAAACCGTTGCACACGCACCTCTGCCTTGACGCTCGTCGTCGCCGTCGGTATTCGTCGCCTGACCGAAGACGGCTAATGCCAAAGCCGTTAAACACCACACGGTCGTGAACATTTTAAACATTTTAAAATTCAGTCACTGTAAAATATTTTTGGTTATTTTGTACAATGTAAATCGCGAGCCGCGCTACAGTAAGAAACAAAACCAAAAACTGAAAATACTTTGTATAATACGTATGTGTACACGATGAGCACAGTCGGGCCGAATGTACGGATTGTGAGCCGGGTTCGGTCTTATATAGTCACAAAGTGTCGCTTATCAGTTTTAGATTTTTGGAAATTTCACATAGACCGATATAAGCTACTGCGTCTGTGTTTGCTAGAGTCAAATATATTTTGTCGTCAAATCGACGGTAAACATATACCACCGCGCGAGTTCGGCTAATTGCTGAAGATAAATGAAAAATAGAACACACATACGGCGCGTATTGTATCCGGTTCCATCCGTATCGGCGATTTTTACAGTTACGCAATATACGATGTGTCTTTTGGAAACGCTTTTTTTTACTTACCATAGATTTAATGTTGTACAGAAGAAACGAAAATATTATCATCCATCGATGTATACGTATTGGTTGTGTTTGCCTAACAATTATTTTATAAAATTATTTTTCGCAGACAATTTCTTACCACGTATTATTGCAGATTTTTTATAAACCAACGATTGAGCAACTCACAATATACACCTTATATTTATGGTAAAATATTTTTATTCAAACCTGCAGCAATCAAGTAAAATAAAAATAATACACGTGCTACTGAGTGGCGCCGAATGAAATTAAAACTGGTAGTTCAAACAGTCGGATTGACCCACCCATTCTTAAAACGTCTGAGAAACGGTCTTAAATAATTTAATGACATTCGTGAATGTTTAATACATTTTTTCTAGTAGAAAGAATAGGAAGTATTCCCAAATTGTATGGCAAATCAATTGAACTACCTGAAGTACATCCTAAGCATGGTGTAAAAATTTGATATGTGTGGTGTTAAAATAGTAACTGTGGGGTGGTTGATATAATTTGATAGTAAAAATTGCATTTATTTATTATTATAGTGATGTGCATCAGTCAATAGTTATTGACGTCGTGAACATTATTATTCTGTTTTACGTCACCTGTTTGGCTGTTTCAATGCTTTTCAATATTTAAGGAGCTTTACACTATTAATTCGTACAGGTATATAATTTGTGCGTTCAAAATAAAAAATAATATCCATACAAATTTCAAATACTAGCAAGAAGGTTCAATCTGCGAGAATGCTAAATTCTCAGCTTTCAAACGTTTAAAAATATAAAGCAATAAACTATAACTCCAAATACAATTTTAAAATGATTGAGTAGGTAACTTAAATTGTTGGTAATTTATTTTGTACAGTATGAATAATGAATCAATATTAAATTGTTATACAATAAGTAAATATCTTAATTTTAAAAATCGTAAGTACCTATGTAAAGTACCTGCGAACAATAACAAATACATAAATATCTTTAATATTAATATCCATGGATATTGTGCACAATCGTAAATTCGTAACTATATATGTACCTACTAGTAACTAGCGAACGGACACAACACAAATTTGTTTTTGTTTACGTTTTTCTGTGAAATGTATTGCTAAGCCAATGGGGAATTGTTGTTTTTGTTTAATTCGGTTTTTTGTTTTGTCCATTGTTTTGCCAAGTTCGTAATGAGATGAGTTTTATTGTACGTTTAATATCTTGAAACATGATAATTATTTATACTAAAGGGAATAATAAATAACGTAGTTGGTTTTGTATATAATTTTGATGTAGGTATTATAATATGATTGAAATATTGAATTAATTTGAAAATACAATTTAAACTATGGGTAGGTTTGACTACCCATATATTAGACTATTTAACTGCGACTTTACAGTCGTTTCACGAAATACAGTAGCTCCATAACACTTTTTTGGGGCGGAAGGTGGGAGGGGTGGCAAGTGTCCCGAAAACCGTCTGTCAAATATCCGGCAAACGTGACAAACTGCCATAGTTATAGTTGTATTCATATAGAGGTATACTAGCTATCTATATATTATAGTATTCAGGCCGATCACGCTCGCGGACTATCGCGTATGACCAGCGCGCTTTCGGGGGAGGGCCGAGCCTCCACCCTCAACTCGACACCCCATCCGCGAATCGCGCCTCTTGTCGATAAGGTCTTTATGTCCGTCGCGTATGTACTGCACTATCCCGAGAACGCAAACATCCATTTGATTATTTATTATATAATACATATATATATATAAGTATTACGATTTATGTATATGCATATACGGCTATATATTTTCGTTGTACAGTATATATATAAATATATATATATATGTTGTAATATATGGTGTTAGTGTATTTTACGATCCTCGACGGAATCATTTCGGACCGGCGTCTATATCTTATTTAATCGACTTTGAGGGGATAATCATTCGGTCCGTGAGTTTCGGTTCGCTCTCACGCATAAATATACATGTAATGTATTTAACGAACGAGGCGACGGCCATGGTGTTTATGGTTTGTATATATTATATATATCATATAATATATATAAACGATATACTCATTGTCGTAGTAGGATATACTATAAATTATAATAACTATATACGCTTTACGAGCGGCGTTCCAATCGGAAAATCCTCCATCCAAGTCCGCCATGACTGTATAATGTCATATTATTATATTAACACATAACGCCCGACGTGACGTGCGGTATAACAATAAAATGTATTATGTTTTTGTATTTTATGCGAGACCCGTCTCCCCGTTGAGAACTAAAATCGCGGAATGAGCCGGGAAAAAAACTGCGCTGGGTGGAAGATCATACTCCGGTGAGGGGTGAAATGAACGAGACGCGTTTATACAACTCTGATGATATTAAATAATATACATATATATGTATATACGTGGGAGGCCAAGTGCGTACGTTTTATAACAAAAAGTGACAGGAAATAAAAACGTTTCGTCGGCGATAATAAAATATACATATAGTATAGGTATTACTTGAAAAAAAAACCGTTTACATAAGAGATATATGGCTCGTCGGAGATTCATTATTATGGAAACATATAACGTCGCTCGATGGACTATTTTCGATGAATATAATAATAGTATAGAAGGTGAGTTTTGGAAAATACGATTTTATGGGGCACGTCACTTTATAGAAATGCGAGTTTTCGGAAAGGATGTATTATATCGCGTCTTGCCGTCTCGTGTATAGATTATATTAGAAAATAATATAATTTATAAGTTTATGACTGTCTGCAGCGTAAGGGTTTTTATTCCGTACAAAAGTCATGGACAGGATAGATTCAGCGTACGATACGTTTGTCATATTATTATTTATCACGTCGTTATCGAATTATTTGGAGACGTATAATATTACACAATATATTGTTATAATCGACAGCGTAAATATTCTGTTCACATGTCGAAAGTCTGAAGCAGGTGTACACACTATATTGCATCACATTTATTTTAGAAATATACGATGTAGCGATCTGCAATGATCGTACTTACGATTTCCAGCGTCTGAGTTATCGAATGTCAAGACGAAAATCGATTTATTTTGGGCTGCAAATACGACTGCAGTAGGTAACAAACTATGTATGTTATCTCATATGTATGTTTATTTTCTAGATATTTAGAACTTTGGCACTATATGTATAGGTTTAGTTGGGTAGGCCTTAGGGCAAAGTGTACACATAGCTTATATTAATAATATTATGCATGACATCGAGATTTGAAAACTATAGGAATTCATTGTTTTTATAGTTATTATTTATTACCTAGTACCTACGATGAACGAATGAAATACTTTCTGAACAATAAACTAATAATAAATCCGTAGATTAGTTATTGATGGTATGTATTACATAAACATTTACTTTTTATTATTTTAAACCGTGTACAATATACCATTCTTATATACTAAAATAAATAAACAAATAAATAAATAACCCAACTATTAAGTTAGTTATAAGTTTTCAAATAACTTTTAACTTCACTGAGTTTAAAAAAAATTAGGACAACTATTAACTTTAAACTTTTTAAAATGTTTTCTTTCAACTTAACTTAACTCAGTTAAAATTTATCATTAACTTGCCCAGGATTGGTTTATATTATGTAAATTTTTGTTACAATAATATTTTTAAAAAGTGTAAGAAATGCGATGCAAAATGTTGGTATCTTTTATTTTTTTTTATTTTCATTAAAATGAAATTTGTTGAAGTGTTGAATTGCTCTAAAAGCACTAAACCTTTTATAGGTATTATAGTTGTACTTGTATTACAGTCGATCTACTTCAACGTGTACCGAAAATTGTCGGGTGAGTACACGTCCACTAAAAATATATGACTTATATGAAATATGATACAGTGAAACCTCTCTCAACGGGCACCTCTAAATAGCGGACACCTCCGAATAGTGGACGTTTTTATAGCAACATTTTCACCACTTTTATATAGGAAAACCTCGAAATACCTTACCTACCGACACTTTTATGGCAATTTAATTTTTGATTTTGATAATTATACACCGATATCAACGATAGTACGAATATGTCCACACTTAATGAGGTAGGAAAATATGAGACCTAAGATCAAGAAAAGGATCTAACTCCACAAATAGGAAGTCTACAGGAGTCACTGGCAGCAGTGAGCAGTGAAAGGTGTGTGTGAATACATTTCTTCTATCGATACATAGAAAATTTCATTGTTCTCCAACGCAGTTAAATTACAAAATGCCTTAATACACGAAATGCATTGAGGTCAAATAAGCTAAAGTAACTGATTTTTTCAATAAATGTTAATTTTTATACTATATGATACTTTTATTTATATTTTCATTAATTTTTACATATATAATAATATCATAATTTTAAATAATAGTATGCACAACTTACTAATATTTATTTATTATTAAAATAATACAAATACAATGCACACCTATATCATTAATATACATATGTACATATTATATAAATGTTGTATATTATATTATGCAGTTATTATTTTCGAATTTTTTTTCCCCTCTGAAAGCGGACACCTCTAAATAACGGACAAAATTACGGTGACTGTGAGTGTCCGGTATTTAGAGGTTTCGCTGTTTATATATTGTATTATAATAAATGCTTCATACAGCAAGTGAAAAAATGTAGTTTTCGGTTTAGTGTGTATATATTTTATTAGTTACTTATCTGAAATTCGAAACGAATGGATAGCGTACCAACATCATAGTTTTCAATACGTTTTCACTTCAACGTAATTTAAAGTATTATTATGAATACATAATATGAACATATACATTTAGTTTGTATTGTAAACAATGAGCGAATATAATTACTTACACGTAACTATAACATTATTAAGCGTCGTCGTCCGTCAGGACAAAATCATCACAAGGAGAAAACTATTTCGTACCTTCCAATGTTATAAACTATATTTGTGGGTTAGCGCAAAAGTGCTTTGAACCACAATTTAATTGATTTTAAATGTATTATAATATTATACACAGTTACCTAAACCATTTGATTATGACATGTACCTATATAGAGAAATCTGAACTGTAGAGAACATTACGCGGAAGACAGTAGTTAAGAAACATGTAAGTGTTGTCCCCTCAGCCCGCAGTTAGCGATATTCGAAAACCGCAATTATAATTGAATTAAAAACGGTTCGATATAATTTACCTTTTCGTACATTTATTTATAGGGTCGTGCATTGTATCGGACCAAGCCATTTTTACAGCGATCGCCAAACGAACCAGAAGCCCGAAGCCGTAGAACTGCATCAGACAACACGAAAAAATGTTTTCCACAAGATTTTTAATCGCGTTTGCGCTTTACTGTCTGGCTTTGGACACCACTTCGGGAAAACCTTTGGCTGGTAGGTATTTTCGATTGCGAAGTAAACTATAATATGAATCGTTAAATGAAACTATAATTTGACCACCCTATCTAATATGAACACATTTGGTGTACTTAAGTGTAATATATTATAATATTGTGAATACGATTTCAGACGGGCTGAAGGCTTGCAAGAAAAGCGATCCGAAATTGGACGAATGTCTTTTGAACATGCTCAGACAGGCTAAACCTCAGCTCATGCAAGGTAAAGGGTAAAAAAGACGTAGCTATTATAATGGTAAAACCGTTTAAGTTATTTTTTTAAGCTTCCATTACAACCTTCGGTGTAGTGTGGTTAGTTTCTATTAAAATTATACTGTAACAATAAATTGTAATCCCAGTTCCAGTCTGGTTGAGATGAATACCTACTTTAGCCACTGTCTCAACTTTTAATTTTAGTTAAACTTTACAGATTTTTGTAACCCCAAGTTTTGGTTAAATTGCTTATTTCGCAGGTAACCCGGAACTGAATCTGCCGCCGTTGGACCCTGTACACATCCCCAGGGTTTCGGTGTACAAGAATTTGCAAGATATCCGGGTGACTGGAGAGCTATCCAACTTGACAGCTAAAGGCGCCAGTTCGATTACCTTCAAATCGTTAAAGTATGTATATAAATATATTATTGATTTATTAGAGTCTTCAATAATATACCATCGATGTATCACCTATATCTAAATTTTGATATTTTATGATAATTCAATAGACAATAACAAAGACACTGAGTATGCATTTTCTTCGGACTATCACTTATATAATATTATAAAAATATCTCATTTTCGCATTTATCTATAAATATATAGTAATAATTATAATATTTATTTGTATTCCAACTATAGTTTTACAATTTATAAGAAAAAAATTTTAATTACATTTATATTAATTAATTTAAGTGGGTCACTTCCAAGTCATTGTCTGTGTGGAAGTTCACAACAGTATTAAATTAATAATATTAGGTTATACATATTATATATATGTATATATACACAACACATATATACATATAGGTAGATATTCATTAAAATATATTGTAGTATTTGACTTTTATTCAATGTATCCTAGTACAACATATATATTTTATTGTATTTATCAAAAATCAAAAATTGTTGTCATCGTCCATCTCTGTACAACTAATATGATGTAATTATAATCCGTTTTCATTGTTTTCGTGTACCACAGAGTCAATTTGAAAGCAAATACGTGGGACATGGTCATAGCGATTCCCCTCGTCACGTTCGTCACGGACTTCAATTTGAACGTCACGCTAAAAGTTATTCCTATGCCTGTCTTCGGAAATGGACTGTGTGAAGGAAAAATCAGTGAGTCTTTTACTGTTATTTATTTTTTACTATCAGAACAATGTCCGAAGTATTGAACTGCGTAACATTTTATTCACATAAAATTTTAAATAATAAATTGCACCCGAAAAAAGTTTACGATTGTATCTTTAAGTTCTTACATAGTGAATGTATAAGTTCATTATGTATTTGTAAGTCTTTGATAATTGTCTTTCTGTACTGAATCGGAATAGATCAATTTGGTATAGCTGCCTATTTAGAATCTAACACCCACTTTGAACTATGTAAGATATACGAATTCTATACCTTACCCATTTTTAATAAACTAGAAATTGTTTAAGTGTACATGATGTATTAAAAAAAAAATGTTTGATGTGCTCGCAACGTATTAAATCACTGACTATATGACGCGATGTACATAACAACCTATTCTAAATTTTCAGGTCACAGCGTCGTTCGATTTCACGCCAACACCGAAGTGAAACAGAGAAAATTGAAGTTGAACGATATCAAAATCGATCTGAACTTGGGTGACGTGGAAGTGCACATCATCAAATCTCAAAACCCATCATTAGGTAAGTCTGCACTAAAACCTATAATCGTCAGTTTCTCGTACCTAGGTTGATATCGAATATCGAATCGATGTACCACTTGCAGTGTCCACATAATCAGAGTATACATCACTCTATAACTCAGTTACTTATATTTATTATTCAGTACCCGATACATATTTTTGAATTATTTTTGCGGGACACGAGTATAAAAAAAATGATTTACCATCGGATTGTAAATTCCTGACTTACAATTTTTTAACTCTTGCGTTTTGCTCATGCTCGACGACCCCGTTTTCGTGGGCAAGCACAGTATTTTATGTAGTTTCACACAATGTATAAAATATAACATACTATTAATATGATTATTGTTACATTGAATACGTTTTGTTGTTTTTCGATTGACGGTCGATGCCACACATCGTGTATTATCGCATCTTATCGCTTATAAATAGACTTCGACAATAATCGCATCAGTGCATGATATTATAATATGTACCTACAATCTACATAGAATGTATGCTCGTATAATGTATTTACTTTACTTTTAGATAATTGTGTACGTCTAGTCAATAAAATAATATTTAAACGGCTAATGGTTCGTTTGCGCACGCACTACGGTTAAATTGCGTACACATTAGATTAAAAAAATGTGATGTGCACGTATAGTATTATTAGGTGTATTAAAATACAGTACCTATTTATACGGACTAAATTACTTAAAACGAATTATCAGTGATTTCCGAGGAACGGTGAAAATATTAAAACATTCCTGTATATCGTTTTCGTAAAAATGCATTTATTTATTTATTTACATAGAAAACGGGTTTTTTTACACCCAAAGATCAAACACCATATTGATATATTATTTAATATTTACACAAACCAAATTTTTTTTTCTCATTAAAAGTATAGGTACATAAATTGTGCCAAGTTCCACCCACAATGTTGAGTGTTGATTCTTGATATTATTTAGACTTGACTAAAACAAATTTATGTCTTAAATTTAATCTGAGATAATTCAGTCATTCGATTATAAAATGTCTGCGTGAATACCTTTGTATGTTAAAATGGGTCAATATTTTTACTGCATTAGCCATCGAAGTTATTTCAAAATAATATTGATGGACAAAATATGTTCCAATATATTTCGGTATTTGCATATAGTCTAGACCATAGGTGCATGTACCAATATCGATAATTATAATATTATTTATAACATTTCCCAGTTGTAACTTTGTAAGTGAAAAAAACTTGTAATATTTGCAGTAACAAATTGACAAAATTTAATGTTTATAACTTAGGATAGGTGTTAATGGTTTAAAACAGTAAAATTAGAAAACGAATATTGGTGATAATATTTGCTTAACTATATACAGTATAACAAATAAAAAATAGAAATAAAAATCATATAAATTAAAACAATTTTTCATTTTCATTGACATTTTAGTATAAGTTAATTACTATTGTCACAATTATTCGTATATACGTATAAACGAGTCTTAATTTCTAATAATTGTAGTAGGTAAACTGATATTTTAAAACGATTAGCGAGGTTTATGGATAAAATAACAGTATAATATTATATATTATGTGATCAATAAACATTTAACATAAATCGTATTTGTATATTTTCTGGGATAGTAGCCACGACACTATAGAGTAAAAATATTATATTATATTATATTATAGCTTTATTATACCGCTATAATCAAATTACCATATTATAGGCATTGCACTAGTGACTAGTGTACTCAATATTTTAGTTAATATAACGATGCAGCAATTATGTTTCCACGCTGTTTGTAAACTAGTCTTCAATAATTTTTTTCCATATTCATATTTTTGATATAAAATATATTATATTCTAGATACCTGATTTATAATATTTTAAAATGTATTAAATAGCTCCCAATTCTCAACGTTTTGGAATTGACTTGAATTCAAAGAAAATATTGATCTGTTTAATTTCTGAGAGTGGAAACTCTATTTAATCGTCATTGAGTTTAAAATTCAACGATAGGATTGTACACTTGTATGTATTGGTTTTAAAGTCTAGATAGGTGGCATGGCGGGTAGGTCGTTCATGGACGCAATGAGCACTCTGTATACTGCACTATGTGTCCAAAACCATCACATAATAATAATATTACACATCGTACACGTTAATTAAGCTTCCTATCGTTTTTCAGCTCAAACGACTTCGCAGTTTTTCAACATGAACAAGCGCTTGATCCTAGACCTGGTGACGCCCGTTGCCGAGGACGTGGTCCGACAGATGTTGCTCCGGTACGGTAACAGAATTCTGTCCACCGTGGAAATCTCCGATCTCTTGATTGACTGAGCCGTCAAAAAGTCGTCGTGGGATTATTTCGGGACGGTTACGTGTCATGTACGTGCAACAGTCATTACACGATAATATTATTAGGTACCTTCCTAGACTCAAAATAGTACTATGGTAATATATATGTAATTGTAGACTATTCGATTGGAGCACTAAGCACATTGTACGAAACTCGCCTTCGACCTAAATCCCGATACTTTGATTTATGCGATCGGGTATTACCATATAGGTCTCACAATAATTATATGTGTCTGTATACCTATATGGTCTCACAATAATTGTATGTGTCTGTGTGCCTATGTATCTCACTGTCGCAAAAGCCGTAATAACAATAACTTAGGTATTATAATATATAGTGCGTATGCAGACTTACAGTAGTACGTACCGATTAAGAACACTTATCGTGGCACAGTTGCGGTGTTCATATTAATACTAAATAGTAAATACGAATAAGTTTATGTGTTTTTTTTTTTTATAGACTTTTTTAATTGTAACTATTTTTAATGAACTGTATAATAGATACCTATTTATTAATTATTATCATTCGTGTAAACAGTGTAATTTATTATTTATTACATGATACATTGACAATATATTCAAATAATTTCATCGTATATTATTATATATTTGAGGTGTGGTAATAATTACTGTTACGCTTTTATCGACAATATTGTTTTCTATTTGCTATATAAATATACCCTGACCTACATAGTTTGGTAATTATTGATAGTAATATAATGTATTTATGATTTTTTTTAGTCTTATCAATAGTTTATTCCTACACATTAAAGTTTGAGCGTTATATAAGTAGGTAAATTATATGATAACTTAAAAGTTGTTTAGATATATTGTCATTTTGGTACACATAATAACGTTTCTGTATAGAAATAAAACTCGTTAGTATTATAACACTACCGTTGCAGTAAAACACTCAAGTACTTACCTCCGGCTCCGTCATCGCCACAATGCTATAATATTATATTATGCTCAGCAATAATAAATAATGATTTTGTATTACCAAGCAGAAGCTATAATATAATTACGAATAGTTTTAAACTTTCCTAATGTGCGCTGTTTTATAGGCCACAAACCATTTTGTTATTGATGAATGAAGTACAAGGAAAACATAATTTGAATTTGTCGAACCACTTATCTATGCTTAACTTCCCAAGATCCAGTACCAAGTTTCAAGAGTGCGTCCCGAAATTACACCTATTTAATGTCCCGGCTGTGTTCCAAGAAAAAAAGGCATATTTTTGACGTAGCCCAAGTACGATCCAGTTTATTTAAAGTTACCCTGGATGCACCACGAAGAAGTGAAGTGGCTTACATCCTAAAATGTTCAGTTAATATTATTCATTTTATCATTTTGGCTTTCATCCATTTTAAAAAGTTGAGGTGATAACTAATTTTTTATAGTAATTTCTCACATTTGAACTATCATAGTGAGATCTGTATCTTAAAAGTGATTATCCGATTAATTTATCTTGAGTAGGTACTGTAGACTGGGGACCCAATTGCAGGGCTAGTCGGTTTAATTCGTCGATAACACGGTGTATGCACAAGGGCTATGGAAAAGGTAAAAATTAAAACTGAACTCACTACGAATAAAATATCAGCCGTGGTTCAAAAACTGAAAATTGTATTTAAAACATAATGGATACTGACATATACTGTCACATTTATTGTGATTTTACTGTTAAAATAAAAATGATATTTATAATATCACTAGATATATAAATTTATAACAAAGAAAGATTGATCTATATTCTATATAATGTGCCAGTATCTTCAAAGGTGTTGTAGAATTTACATTATCGTTTCGTCCGAAATAAGAATAAGGTTCTCTCGGCAGCAATGCACGTTATATGTGTGTATTATTATGGGTGTAATACACTATAAAAATACTGCAATGCAAAAAATTACTTATTGCACACATTATACGTTTCAATTTAAATTATACTGTTTACAAAATGTTAGAAAGAAAGTGTGATCGTTTTTTTAACCGTAAAAGAAGATGTTCTCAGAAGACCAGCATTCAAAATATTAATCGAAACCGGTTTTCATGAATAGTTTATTGTACATATATTCAATGTTTCCCAAAACCACTGTAAATGTACCCATAGTCTTCGACAGCCAGAGGTCTTTCGGGTTTCATACCAGTCACTCCCGTTTTTACCTAGTGGGTTTGTTTTTTACCTTCTTCATCTTCTAATATTGTTAGTTATATACATATTAGACTGTAAGAGTATTCACGTACCACCCTAATATAAATACCATTTTTTTATGATTGTATTATGTACGCATTACCTATAAGTATCATACTATTATCTGAACGTTCATACACTGCATCAGTGCATCACTCTGAACCTGAACCATTTAAGGTTTTATGAATTTGAGTACTTTGGGGCCCTTTATTTTTATATCAATATGCCCTATGCCCTAAGCACAGCCTCACATAACTCTATAATAAAAGGGAAGGAAAGAAAAATATCAATATTTCAATATTTCTTTTTCAATTCAAACAATAGCGGTTTTAAATATTTAATGGTTATTTATATTTTCTTTATCTATTTTTTCAAATTTTTTCAAATTTTAACCAATGAATTAATTAAGAAAATTTTTAAAAAAAGTCATATTTTGCCTTACTTAGGTTAACTTAGCTCAGTTGTCAATTAAAAATATAATATTGGTAAGGGAGTGAGGAGAGTTGAAGAAAAATATATGATAAAGTGATACAGAAAAAATATTTACCTAAGAGTAACAGTTGATTATTTTTTCGATCAATTATATAGTACTAAGCTAAACGACAAAATGTCACCAAAGAAAAATCACTGTAATGTCCCAATTCGTGTAGGTACAAAATATGTACAATACTCATCACATCATCGATATTAATTGTCAAGCAAGTCTTGACGTTTTCAAATCTCATGATCGTGGTTTGCAGGTCACGAATGCAAAGAACCATTAAAATTATTTAAAGTCGTGTTCGCAGGTACAAACATAGTCGGTTTTTTTTTTCATTTTAATATCTTTTCGCGGACCGGAGACGAAAACGTCGTCGACAGTCGATTGAACCCGGCGCCGCGCCGCCCGCCGTCCCGTGTCGCCGGTCAGTCGGGTGGTGGTGACGACGGCGGCGCGGGCACTCCAGCGGGCCAAGCAGCAGCAGCTGTTTGTAGTCGCCGTCCGCGTACAGCGCACGTCCGACCTGCACGCGAGCCGAACGTTTCCCGACGACGACGACGACGACGACGACGCCCGCTCGTGAGTATATATTATATACATATTAGTTATCTCTGATTATTGTTATCACAAAAACCACCGACTTGCGTGGGAGAGGGTCGGCGGCGGCGATGAGTTCCACGTACGCAAACGAAACTCGTCCTCGTCCCTATAATCGTATACGCATTGTCGTATTATTAAACCTTTTATTTTTACTTTTATAAATACCTTTTAGTTAAATGCCATTGCAGGTCTACAATAATTAAAGTAATTATTATTATTGCGATGGTAGTTGGTATAATATTATGCGATTTGTACGTCTCATTTGACATTATATAATATTATTGTGCGAAAGTATTTCGTTTCGACTTTTGTAATATTATTTTTTAAAAACTATTAAATCGTTTCTCTAAATGCGTTTTTAAGGCGCCTGCATGTTGAATTATATCTCTGAAGTATTATAGCAGTGTTCTCGACCGGTCATGTTAATGTGATCATTAATGATCAATTATATAAAAATATATATAGGTAATATGAATGATAAGATCGTTCAATTGATTTTAAAGAAAAATAATTTGTGCTACTGAATAATATACATATAATAATACCTAATATACAATGACAGTTTAATGGTTTTCTGAACCTAATGTTAAACAATAATTATGATTACCTGAAGGTGAATTTTTTAAGGAATTTTCCATGTTAGTTTTTCTTGTCTAAAATTGTTAAAAATATTTCATTTAAGACCACTGTTTTGCCCCAACCCCTTAGTAATTAACTATACATATTTCAATATTTATACCTATACTTAAAATACGTATTTATGCTTTAATCACGTATTTTCTTAATCGTTTCCATATCATATTACGTACGTACATAATATATTCATAACTGTTAGTAATAAAAAAATATATATATATAATACTACCAGTATATACCATTGTATAGCATTTATATAAGCAGTAAGCACATAAAAAGTAGTCATCTGCAGGGGAGAGTAATAGTATATAAGTATTACATTTTACGTTTTTTCGTTATATAAAAATCGTTTTAAAAGTTTTTGTTTTTTTATTCTCTTTACTTTTACGTTAAGTTATTGTTTTTTTTTAACAGACGTTGGGTTATACGCGTAAGTTATGTATCATAACAGTATAATATAAATTAAATTGTTATAATAGATAAACATCTGAGTTATTTCGACCGTTTAATCTACTGGACATTATTTAATTTATTTCGCTCTCATGATGCTGAAAGTATATCAATTTTCCACGTAATAATATTATAATATGTACGCAACGTTTTTAGAGTGATTTTTTTTACGACAAATTATGTTATTCGATTTTTACGACAAATAATAACTACCGTTCCCCTCGTCCGATCACCGCTCATACTACATGCAATACATGATGTACGCATAAAATATATATTTATATACTATAACATATTGTTTTATTTTCTTTGCTAAATGTAGGTACACATTTACAATAATATACAGACAGCCGACTGCAAGACGCGTGTAATATTATGTTGTATGTTGAAGCGAAATCGAAATACGCCAACGCAGCAATGTCGATAACCTATTCGTAGGCTATATCCGTATTACATTACCACTATAAATCAAGCAAATCATGGACGCTATAATATTCATATTATAAGCGATGCAAATTGTATTTTTCGGTTTTTTTTTTAATATTCGCTCAACCTATTATTTACATTTCTCGAAAAATAAAATCAAACAGTTTCAAAAGCGTTTATATGGTGCTGCAGCAGTCTGTCAAGAATAATATTATGGAACAGTTGTCGATAACGTTTCGATAAGAATTATTTAATTACATTACAGACGTATGCCCTCGCACTTCGCAGGCTGCAATTTATTTTTATTTACCTATAACGCGTGACGCGAGTATTTGTTTATCTTATCTCGACAGGTAATTCAGTAATTACTAATTATTTTACTAACTTCTTGCAAGTCGCAGTGCATAAAATATTACAAAATAATTGTATTGATAGATTATTTTGCAAGTGAACGTATCTACGCACTGTTCCACATAGAGTCGTATCCTATATTTCGTATTACAATTTATATAACCCATTTTAACATTATATGTCTTCAAAAATTACCAAACTACCCCAAGTACCTTGACAAGAGACCGCGACTCGAGT